GGCTACCAGGCGCAGAGCCCCGGACTACACGGCCACAGGCGCAGCTGGCTCTCTGGGCTACCAGGCTAAACCTTGGACTACAGGCGCTGCGGACGACAAGACGGCTGCCTCCACTCAACTTCCCCCAGCTTTCCCACACCCCTTTCACACACCCCCTGCTGTACCTCTAGCACTGCTCACACGCCACCCCCCTCGTACCACTCCGACGGCTTCAACACATCCACCCCCCTCAGCGGCAGCTGCAGCAGTGGGAGACGGAGGAGGAGGAGAAGCAGGGGACGGCGCACATACCCGTCACCCCCATACTCGCCACCCCCACACTCGCCACCCCACTGCAGAACGCGTAGCAGGGAGGCGAAGGAGAATGGGGGGGGGGGGGGGGGGGCGGGGGGGCGGGTAGGAGGCTGCGCGCGGGTCCCTGGAGGCGGCCGCGGAGGTCCCTGGGGGCGGCGTGCGGGTCCACGAAGGGGGCGCGGGTCGACAGGAGCCGCGGGCGGGTCGATGGGGGGCCGCGCGCGGGTCGACGGGGCCGCCGCGAAGGGCGACGGGGAGCCGCGCGCGGGTCGACGAGGAGGGACGCGCGGGTCCCCGGGGTGACGCGAATGGTGGGAAACCGCCGCGCGCCTCGGGGCGCACGGCGAGCAGAAAACCGCCATGCGTCCCGAGCGCATGGCGGTAAGAAAAAACGTCGTGCGCCACGGGGCGCGCGACAGACAAGACAGCAGCGGAAGCTAACGGTGGGCCCACAGGCCAGGAGAGTAACTGCTCTGATACCATTTCGAAATAGCAGACTGAAAAGATAGAACAGAAAAGAGGGGTTGCACTAGCAGGCAGTTGAGTACATATAGCAAACCCTAATTTGGGGCCATACTCGCTATAGAGTACCCCACTGCAGGCTAGACAAATATCACATTCTGACAAAAAAAACAGGCATCAACAATAAAAATCAATGCACCGATGTGCGATGCAGTGGAATGAGACAAGGTTGGGGATGAGCATACAGAGTCGTTCAACCATTCCACAGAGGGGCCCCACCATGACCATTGCACTGTATGTGCTGATGCCCGAGAAAAGGCGTAGATCAACGCCCACTGCCCTGAGGTGGAAGAGCAACAAGGCCAACAAAGATGCAGTGTAAGCTTTTTCAACAATGAGCAAAGCGAGAAACTCAGTGACGATAAGACCGTCGCACAAAAAAGTGGCAAATACGATCATGTATTTTCTGCGACACCTGTCGGTGCTCTCATCGAGCGTGATCCCAATAAAGGGGCTTGTTAGGAGGTGCTCCAGCTGTGTGGTTTGAAGCCACGTCGCAATAGCTTGACTGAGTTCTTTAAACCCGTACATGTTAAACACAAAAAAACAGGGTAGTAAGCGACAGATATATGGCGAGTGTTATAACTAAACGCACAACGCAATATACTTACGTATTGTAATAAGTGCCGTAGCTCTGCTCCGGGAAACCGGGCACTTTGCTCAGCATGCACCTCACATGGTCCTGTTTGCAGGGAGAGTGGGTGGGGTGGGGTGGATGTTTGTTGTATCTTGCGAGGTGCAGCGCGCTGCGAGCCATGCGATGCCAACGAATCTTGCCAACGCTGCTTGCTGTGCAACCCCGATTGGTCGGAATTGCAGCTTATTATAGCTTTGCTGTACCCACGCGACTGTGTGGTGCCGCGCAGGGGGGAAATTCGATTTCCCGCCCGTGATTGACAGTGTTAGTCTTACACTTCGCCAGACTGTTGGAAATCCCTGTAATGCCGGTTTCAGTGTGCAACCCCTATATACCGTATTCTCCCGGACAAAACACCCCCCCATAATTGTACACCCCCGGGTAGCTTGTGCGGGGTGGGTGTTATGGGGAGCCTCAATTCTACTATACCCCCCTTTTTGCCTGATTCTCTATAAGACCCGGGGGGAGGGTGTTATGGGCAGCAAAAATACATAATTTGTTTACATTGCATACAGGGGACATTACAGGTACTACAGAAGTAATGCGCCAGCACATAGTCATCGACAATGTGACCTAGACTGCAGAAACATCACCACAACATCACCTCACATCCACAATTTCACCTAGAAAAACTCTACGAAGTGCCTTCTACTCAGAATCGTCTCCTGCATGCCATTCTTCACAATCTTCCCCGTCAAAGCGACCAGGGCGCCACCATTCGTCATCGCTGGGTTCTTCTGCCTCCTCGCCTTCCTCAAGCACGCCCCCCTCCTCCTCTGCCGCCGCCGCTTCCGCGTCCTCCTCAGCGGCGTCAGCCTCCTCTGCCACCGCCTGCAGCTCCTCGGCTGGCATGGGGACTTCGGCGTAGAAGGGGTTGACGACGAGCTCGTCGTCAACCAGGTCGTTGACGTCGTCAAGGACTTCCACCTCACCCTTGTCCCGCATGTGGGCAAGGATGAGGTGGTCCTCGCTGCCATCGATGGGGGTGGAGATCCCACACGTGACGAACGCCTTCTTCACGAGCTCCTCTGGGATTGCTTCCCAGGACTCATCGATCCAGCGGAGCACCAACTCCGCTGGCGGCTTCTTGAGATTGCCTGAGGGACGGGGAAGGGTAGACAAGGACGAATGTGAATTTCCAGAGCGTAAGCTGACATTGATTCAAAGTCACGCATGCGAATGTCATGGTTCAACTCACCGGCCTTGGTGGTGGTGTTGATTCCTTCTTCTTCGAACCAGCCGCTGTAGCGATGACGCACACCGCACTTGAACGCGCGGTTGATCGACACATCCAGAGGCTGCACTAGCGGAGTGCAGCCCCCTGGGATGACAGCTCGTGACAGCCGAAACATCCGCATGGTCTGCCCGACCGCCTCGGTCAAGTGGCCGCGGTAGGAGTCGAGCACAACTAAGGCCTCCCTGCGGCGTCCAGTTGATTCACGCAAGGGCTTCAGAAATGGCACCATCACCTGGGTGATCCAGTCCTGCACAAGTGATTCGTCCATCCACCCTTTCTCTTGTGCACGGACCACCACACCTGCCAAAGAATACTGGTACGTCAGGGTCAGGTTCGGTTGTGAGTGTTGACAGGCAAGAGCAGTGACATCGTCCTAAACGTGCTACGCTTACCGGCAGGGATGGGCACCTTCGGTATGGTCTTGCGCTTGAACACCACGTACGGCGGCAGCTTGAGCCCACTCAGAGTTACTGCCAGCATGACAGTAACACGCTCCTTCTCATAGCCCGCAATCCGCACGTGAACCGTCCACGCTCCCTTCATTTCGAGCGTGCGCTCCGCCGGCATCTCCAGGAAAAGCGGGGTCTGGTCCGCGTTCAAGATGAGGTCGAGCGGGTAGTCGTGCAGAGAGCGCACCTGGTGCACAAACTCCCAGAAGGACTCCACCTTGGCCTTGCAATCTGCAAGCAAAGCCACGAGACACATTAGCTCTCCATGAGATGGTGGTCAAAGAGCACCACGGCACAACACTTACCCGCTGCCAACTTCTGTCCCATCTTCGTCTTCACCCGCCTCGCCAGATGCCAGCGCGCGCGGAAACGAGTTGCCCAGCGGAACGATGCGCGCCAGTTGACCCCGGGCATCTGGTGCTTCATGTACTTTGCGCTCCACTTCTGGAGCATGCTGACCGAAACGGCGAGCCCCCTCCCCCGGTGCTTGAGGAACTGGCAGTAGACCGCCCGTTCCATGAAAGGGCACTTGGACTTGTGGCCAGCTCCCATAAGGCGACGGCGGCAGCTGGAAGCGACCTCCAGCCGCTCCCTCATCTTCGTCCAATCTGGCATGGCTGCACCTTCGCGAGCTTCGCCAGGGCACGATTCGACAGGTCAGGCTGCGAGTCCTGCAGCTTCAACCAGTGGAGCTTCTCCTTCGCGGTGATTGCATTGCGCTGGCGTTTTGTCGTGCGATGGCGAGGGGATGGCGCGTCAGCATCGGCGTTGCGCTTTGGTTGTCCCTGCGGGCGGTTACGCTCCGGAAACGTGGGGACAACCACTCGAGGAAGGGTAGGTCGAGGACGGTCCGAGCTACTGCTCGGTTCATCCCTGGTAGAAGCACTACCGGGAGCATCCGGCCGAGGCAAGATCGGACGAGGAGACGTCCGTGCGCGTGCAGCAGCGCTAGTCTGATTGGTGGAAACAGGCCGCTGCCGCCTATCTACCGTACTGCTAGAATCTGGAGATGAAGCCATACTTGGGAACTAAGGCAGGTCGATGTCACTCGCCATGGGAGAAATGACTTTAAAGTCGATACCTCGTGCACAGGAAGGAGACACTCTCACAGCCTGCCGAGCACTTGTGAAAGACGTGCACTGGAACCGCTTCACGAAGAGAATAGCAAACCCTTGTGAGGAAGCCTGGACGTGACTACCGTACACGGCAGTCAAGGGGTCACAGGTACAGTGACAACACAGCACCGTGCGCGATTCCGGCCTTGTACTGCATGAAACCAAGCTGCGCGAGGTTGGCACTGATATCAACCAATCAGGTGTCACAGTGGGCCCACTGGAATTTGCCATGTGGCAGGTTCCAGTGGAGGCCGACGTTATCATCGTAAACGCGGTTTGGCGGCCCTGAACAAAAAGATAATAGTGAGGCCAGACCCCTGTTTTTGTTTCCATTCATTTCAGCTTATAAAAAAATGTGCAATATAATAAGACCCGGGTATTATGTATTTTTGTCCTCTGAGGAGACCCCCCCCATTTTTTCCCTGTATTTTTAGCTATACCCTAGGGTGTTATGTCCGGGAGAATACGGTAAGGTTGAGTGCACAGCCTACAGTCCTACAAAATGGCTGAAAAAACAACTACCGTTAGAAAAACAACTCTGAAAATTCAGCCAAGGTACATATGAAAAAACTTCAGATTCAACCTAGCCATTTTCTTACTCCATCAGTTACATGACATTATATTGAAATGGTCAGCCTGGACTCCACAGCCTATTTTACGCCGTGTCGTTTTCAGGATGTCCACGGGTACTTCCCAGGGTGTGCAGTTGCTGATGTGGCAATGCTACAGCGTTATCACCATGCGAGCTACTCCTTGGGTGCAGAGGCATCAGGGGGCGTCAGGGACTCCACGAACTGCTGCAGCTCCGCCCTCTCCTCTCGTGTCAGGCCCCTTGCTGATCCCCCCTTGCCTGCGTGGGCTGAACCCTTGTGGCGCGGCCACAGCTTGGTCACCGGGTCAGGCGCCCAGCCTGAAGTGGGCGTTGGTGGCAGGTTAGAGGGAAGAGAGTGGCCAATGAGCAAAAGGAGGGGGGATGGGGGGAAAAGGGGACTAGGGAGGAAAGTGCGACTGTAAAGCGGGGCCGACGGCATGTGCTATGGTGATGCAACAACGTCTCAGCTGGCCTGCTGGATCGCCAGTATGCGCAGCGAAGGGAGAAGAGAAGGTCAAATGGTGGCACCTGTGGGAACGGGCAGCTGAGCAAGGGCCCTTGACACGGCACGCACGTCCACTGCCCTCCCACCACCCCGCCCTCTCCCCACACTGCTCAAACTCGCCTCAAGCCCGGACCCTTCCGACACCCCTTCAGCCCTTTCCGCCGCCCCTTCCAGGGTGGAGAGGCCCAGGAGCGCAGCGAGGCGGGAGAGGCAGAGCAGCTCCGAGGGGCTGCCGGGCGGCACGATGGACGCCAAGGGGATGACGGCCGCAGCGTGCTGCTTCCACCGCTGGTGGTCACGCAGGTAGGCCTGCATGTGTGCTTTGATGCGCCTGCATGCAGACGCGCAGAGGAAGCAGGGTTGGTAGAGAGGAGTGGGATTTGCTTTCAAAGAGAGGAGAGACAAGATGCTGGTCACGCAGGTAGGATTGCAGGTGGGCCTTGATGCGTTTCTACGCAGGCATGCAAAGGGGTGGGAAGGTTAAAGTAATGAACAGTGGGACGGGTGAAGGAGAAGGGAGAGGTAAAACACGTTCTTCATCCAGAGCTCGCAGTGGGACGCTGATGCGAGTGCGCGAGTGCATGCGAGAGGGTGAGGAAGAGGGGGGAAAGGCAGAGACGAGTGTGCTTAGGGGTGAGGGTCGCAGTGCTGGTGTAGTCGAGTAGATGACACACACGAGGTGCGATGCAGCAGGGAGAGGAGGAGAGAGACGAAAGATGGCAAGAGAGAATCGAGTGAGGGTAGTGACTGATGAGGAGCCACCGGCATCCATGTATGGCAGATGAGGAGCCACCGGCATCCATGTATGGCAGATGAGGAGCCACCGGCATCCATGTATGGCAGATGAGGAGCCACCGGCATCCATGTATGGCAGATGAGGAGCCACCGGCATCCATGTATGGCAGATGAGGAGCCACCGGCATCCATGTATGGCAGATGAGGAGCCACCGGCATCCATGTATGGCAGATGAGGAGCCACCGGCATCCATGTATGGCAGATGAGGAGCCACCGGCATCCATGTATGGCAGATGAGGAGCCACCGGCATCCATGTATGGCAGATGAGGAGCCACCGGCATCCATGTATGGCAGTACAAGTGTGTGGGGGACAGGGATAGTGGGTGCGGCCAGGAGGGGCTTGGACGACATCAGAGAGAAGGAGATGCGGGGGACAGGGGGGTGCGGGGGGGAGGGGGGTGCAGGAGTGGAGGTGGTGAGGAGGATATCCGTGCAGGGTGGGCGCAGTGAGTGGTGCAAGGTGGGCGCAGTGAGTGGTGCAGGGTGGGCGCAGTGAGTGGTGCAGGGTGGGCGCAGTGAGTGGTGCAGGGTGGGCGCAGTGAGTGGTGCAGGGTGGGCGCAGTGAGTGGTGCAAGGGCTCACACGTGGCGCACAACTGAGGACGCGGCAGCGTGGACAGCCAGACGCCATGCTGTGATCCCCGTATGACTCACGGCATGCTGTGATCCCCGTATGACTCACGGCATGCTGTGATCCCCGTATGACTCACGGCATGCTGTGTGGTAACCAGCCGACGCGGAGGTAGGAGTCAGCGACGCCACACACGTCCCTCTCAGTGAGCAGCACCACCCCACTCCACTCGCCCACCTCCCACCCCTCTGCCCACTCGTGTGTCTTCACCACCACGCTCACTCCTCCCCACTCCCCTCCATCCATCCTCACCCCCTCCCCATCTCCTCTTCCCCCTAATTCCGCGGACCCCCATCCCCCCCCCTCTCCCCTCCCCTCCCCCCCAGGTCCGCGGCTGCAGAGTGGTGAGAGCCCCCTGGCGCGCAGCTTGCTGGCGGAGATGGAGTGCAGCCAATAGGAGAGCGCCAGCTGGCCCGAGTGGGCGAGCAGCAGGCGAACGGCGCTGAAGAGCCACGTGGAGCCTGCAGGGAGGCAGGGAGGCGATGGGTGTGATGGGAGGAGGGGTTGGGTGGTGGGAGGGAGATGGGAGGGGCGGTTGGGTGGAAGAGGGTGGGTGCGGGGGGGAGGGGGGGGGAGAAGACAGGGAAGGCCGTGATGTGGGGTGTGCAGTGAGCAAGGGCCAGGGAGCCGTGTGTGTTGAACCTTGGAGCCCGCAGGGGGGGATGAGGGCGGTGACGGGTGGGGGTGTGAAGTGTGTGGGTAGAGGGCGAACGGGATGGGGGGAAGGGGATGTTGGGAAGGGGATGTGGGGAAGGGGATGTGGGGAAGGGGATGTGAAGGGGTTTCAGTGAGGTGAGGTGAAAGGGAGGAGGGTTGCATGGGGAGTGGAGTGCGCGAACGTGCAGGCTGGAAAGTCGCGCGACTCGTCAAAGTAACTGGGGCGGTCACGAGCTTCAGACCCTCCTTGGAGACGAATGGGCCAAAAAGGGGCTATTCAGAGGCGCGGTGGTTGCTCTTCCAGCCTTGGTGTGGAAAATGATGGGTGGAGAGGATGGCGGGAAGCTGCGGATATTGTGGAGGATGTGAGCGCAGAGCATGTGGGCGCGGAGCATGTGGGCGCGGAGCATGTGGGCGCGGAGCATGTGGGCGCGGAGCATGTGGGCGCGGAGCATGAGGGCGCGGAGCATGAGGGCGCGGAGCATGTGGGCGCGGAGCATGAGGGCGCGGAGCATGAGGGCGCGGAGCATGAGGGCGCGGAGCATGAGGGCGCGGAGCATGTGGGCGCGGAGCATGAGGGCGCGGAGCATGAGGGCGCGGAGCATGAGGGCGCGGAGCATGTGGGCGCGGAGCATGTGGGCGCGGAGCATGAGGGCGCGGAGCATGAGGGCGCGGAGCATGTGGGCGCGGAGCATGAGGGCGCGGAGCATGAGGGCGCGGAGCATGTGGGCGCGGAGCATGAGGGCGCGGAGCATGAGGGCGCGGAGCATGAGGGCGCGGAGCATGAGGGCGCGGAGCATGTGGGCGCGGAGCATGAGGGCGCGGAGCATGTGGGCGCGGAGCATGAGGGCGCGGAGCATGAGGGCGCGGAGCATGTGGGCGCGGAGCATGTGGGCGCGGAGCATGAGGGTGCGGAGCATGAGGGCGCGGAGCATGTGGGCGCGGAGCATGTGGGCGCGGAGCATGAGGGCGCGGAGCATGTGGGCGCGGAGCATGTGGGCGCGGAGCATGTGGGCGCGGAGCATGAGGGCGCGGAGCATGAGGGCGCGGAGCATGTGGGCGCGGAGCATGAGGGCGCGGAGCATGAGGGCGCGGAGCATGTGGGCGCGGAGCATGAGGGTGCGGAGCATGAGGGCGCGGAGCATGTGGGCGCGGAGCATGTGGGCGCGGAGCATGAGGGCGCGGAGCATGAGGGCGCGGAGCATGTGGGTGCGGAGCATGTGGGCACGGAGCATGAGGGCGCGGAGCATGTGGGCGCGGAGCATGTGGGCGCGGAGCATGTGGGCGCGGAGCATGTGGGCGCGGAGCATGAGGGCGCGGAGCATGAGGGCGCGGAGCATGTGGGCGCGGAGCATGTGGGCGCGGAGCATGAGGGCGCGGAGCATGAGGGCGCGGAGCATGAGGGCGCGGAGCATGTGGGCGCGGAGCATGTGCGCGCGGAGCATGTGGGCGCGGAGCATGTGGGCGCGGAGCATGAGGGCGCGGAGCATGAGGGCGCGGAGCATGTGGGCGCGGAGCATGAGGGCGCGGAGCATGTGGGCGCGGAGCATGTGGGCGCGGAGCATGAGGGCGCGGAGCATGTGGGCGCGGAGCATGTGGGCGCGGAGCATGTGGGCGCGGAGCATGTGGGCGCGGAGCATGTGGGCGCGGAGCATGTGGGCGCGGAGCATGTGGGCGCAGAGCACATGGTAGGAGGTTGAAGGACCCATGAGGTCGATCAATACAGGGCTTAAAGCCCCGGCGAGAGCGGTGCTTATTGAGACGACTCAAGCACAGTGCGTGGAGCAACGCTGTGGGCGCGCGATGAGTGGGTGGTGGCAGGCGCACCCGACCTCTCTGGTCCCGCGCACACGATCAGCCGCGGCCTGCTCCCCCACGCGCCACTGCCGTCCCTGCTCTGCTCTCCGTGCGCCACGTGTCGGCTCGACAGGACATCTCGCCACGTGGGGTCCACGTGGAGCAGCTCGCACTCGCCGTCGCCGTAACCACTGCCGGCCGGACAGAGCGTTCGCTGCGCCCAGGATGGCAAGAGTTCAACCAGGGTTTCGCCTCCTAACGAGGATTCTATATTCGCGGATGAATGGAGCCCGCGCGACTCGGCCGCCATAGCGACTACAGCTGGGCGCGATGAGGTTGAGGGTGGCGCCACGAGCAGCCTGGCGAGCGACGGCGTCAGGAGCGGCTCGAGCGGTCCGAGCAAAGATTTGCGCGGCAGCGCGGTGAGAGATGAGAAGTGGACGCGAAGCAATGCTACTACGGCAGGCATGGCTGACAGTCCCGAATAGCTGAAATTGGCTTGATGCTGATGAGCAATTTACGGCAGTTGTTCGCTTCACCGCTTTCAACCGTTATTTACCAGCCTGAACATTGATTATGAGCTGCGAACGAACCAAGGGTGACATGCCCTCATGACTTTGGCCACATTTGAGTCTTGTTGCCCCGTTAGTACAATCCTCACTCGCTCCCTACACTGCACTCATCACATTTCTTCGCGCTAAAATCGTCCCTGCAACGGAAGGTTCCGCGATAAGCCAAAATGTGTGCGACGAGTGCGATCCCACCAATGCGCTCCTCGTAAGAACCGCCTGACTGCCGCGCAGCGGGCATTTCTTGCAGCGAACGGCGGAAACAGCGCGGAGAGAGGCAGCGCGGAGAGTGCACACGCAGGCGCGAGCTACGAGCGGCGGGTGAAGCGCCGCGCGAATGGCGGCTGCGCCGCTGGGAGGTGTCCCGCCAGGCGCGGGCGGCGTGCAGCCCACAGCCGCGCAGGCGCCGATGCCGCGGCTGCACATGGTGCAGCCGCAACCGCACGCGCCGCAGCCGCAGACGCAGCCGCATCCGCAGCAGCAGCAGGCGGGGCAGCAGAGGCGCGGGGCTTTGAAGCAGTTGGTGGTGGTGGTGGAGGGCACGGCGAGCATGGGGCCGTCGTGGGCGCTGCTGCGACGCCTCTACCTGCACCCGCTGCTCAAGTGCGTTCCGCCTCCCACTAGGCTCTCACACCCGCTGCTCAAGTGCGTTCCACCTCCCACTAGGCTCTCACACCCGCTGCTCAAGTGCGTTCCACCTCCCACTAGGCTCTCACACCCGCTGCTCAAGTGCGTTCCACCTCCCACTAGGCTCTCACACCCGCTGCTCAAGTGCGTTCCACCTCCCACTAGGCTCTCACACCCGCTGCTCAAGTGCGTTCCACCTCCCACTAGGCTCTCACACCCGCTGCTCAAGTGCGTGCCGCCTCAGCGTCGCCCTGCTATAGCGCGTCCCTGCAGGAGCGCCTCGCATTCCCGATCCACTCACTCCTCTCCTCTCCTCTCCTCTCCTCTCCTCTCCTGCTCTTCTCGTCTTTTCCCCTCCAATTCTTGCTCTCCTCATCGCATCCCTGTCCTGTCCTCGCTCCGTTCCCCTCCTTGCCTCGGCCTCCGCTGTTCCCTCCGTTCCCCTGCCCTTCCCCAAATTTCCATTCCCCCCCTCCGTCCCCTTTTCTCCCTCCCCCTGCCCTCCGTCCCCTTCCCACCCCCCTGCCCTCTACCCCCTGCCCACCCCCCCACCTCTGGCCCCAACCCCCGATCTTCCCCCCGTCTCTCCGCGCATGCCATGGTCGCCTCGCCAGGGCCTTCTGTGGCGTCGACTCTCTTACACAGGTCAGGGCGGGGCAGGGCGGGGCAGGGCGGGGCAGGGCGGGGCAGGGCGGGGCAGGGTGGGGCAGGGTAGGGTGGGGCAGGGCGGGTGAGGGGCCGGGTGGGGTGGGGTGGAGCGGGGCGGGGCAGGGCGGGGCAGATCGGCACCTCATCTCTCTGCTACTTCCTCCTCCTCCTTGTGCCCCCTCCACCCTCCTCCACCTTCCTTCCCTCCCTTACTGGTGTTGACCCATGTTGACCGGCGTTGACTGCGTGACAGAGGGCGGGCACAGCAGCGGTGGAGCTGGCTCTCGTGGTCTACCACTCGCACGGCTCCTTCTCACGTGCGCCCGATCTGTCATGCACAATGCTTAATGCACGCACCCACTCTCACCTGCGCCCTTCTCAGCTGCGCCACGTTGCCCCTGCTAGATGCATCCTACCCTCCTTTCCTCTCCTCCTCTTCCATTTGCAGCCTCTCGTTTCTTCCACACACCCTCCACCCGCCCTTATTCAAACACCCTCCTCCACACCACACTTCAGACGCCCTTGACGGCATCGTCCGCCACGCCTGGCTCCACGCCCTTGCCACTCGCCACTCGCCACTCGCCACTCCTTCTCGGGAGGCAGCGCAAAACCTCTCGTGCTCCCCCTCCCCCCTCCTCTCGCCACCCTCCACCCGCCCCCCACCCCGTCCTGCACCCCGTCAGCCTCGTTGCTGCAGCAGACACCCTTTACGGCGTCACCTGCCGCCTTCCTGTCGTGGCTTGACGCCCTCTCCTTCTCGGGGGGCGGCGCTTCGGACGCTGCCGTTGCTGAAGGCCTCTCAGAGGCGCTGCTGGTGAGTTGAGGCGCTGCTGGTGAGTTGAGGCGCTGCTGGTGAGTTGAGGTGTTGCTGGTGAGTTGAGGTGTTGCTGGTGAGTGGAGGCGCTGCTGGTGAGTTGAGGCGCTGCTGGTGAGTTGAGGCGCTGCTGGTGAGTTGAGGCGCTGCCGGTGAGTTGAGGCGCTGCTGGCGCTGCTGGTGAGTTGAGGCGCTGCTGGTGAGTTGAGGCGCTGCTGGTGAGTTGAGGCGCTGCTGGTGAGTTGAGGCGCTGCTGGTGAGTTGAGGCGCTGCTGGTGAGTTGAGGCGCTGCCGGTGAGTTGAGGCGCTGCTGGTGAGTTGAGGCGCTGCTGGTGAGTTGAGGCGCTGCTGGTGAGTTGAGGCGCTGCTGGTGAGTTGAGGCGCTGCTGGTGAGTTGAGGCGCTGCTGGTGAGTTGAGGTGTTGCTGGTGAGTTGAGGTGTTGCTGGTGAGTGGAGGTGCTGCTGGTGAGTTGAGGCGCTGCTGGTGAGTTGAGGCGCTGCTGGTGAGTTGAGGCGCTGCTGGTGAGTTGAGGCGCTGCTGGTGAGTTGAGGCGCTGCCGGTGAGTTGAGGCGCTGCTGGTGAGTTGAGGCGCTGCCGGTGAGTTGAGGCGCTGCTGGTGAGTTGAGGCGCTGCTGGTGAGTTGAGGCGCTGCTGGTGAGTTGAGGCGCTGCTGGTGAGTTGAGGTGCTGCTGGTGAGTTGAGGCGCTGCTGGTGAGTTGAGGCGCTGCTGGTGAGTTGAGGCGCTGCTGGTGAGTTGAGGCGCTGCTGGTGAGTTGAGGCGCTGCTGGTGAGTTGAGGCGCTGCTGGTGAGTTGAGGCGCTGCTGGTGAGTTGAGGCGCTGCTGGTGAGTTGAGGCGCTGCTGGTGAGTTGAGGCGCTGCTGGTGAGTTGAGGCGCTGCTGGTGAGTTGAGGCGCTGCCGGTGAGTTGAGGCGCTGCTGGTGAGTTGAGGCGCTGCTGGTGAGTTGAGGCGCTGCCGGTGAGTTGAGGCGCTGCTGGTGAGTTGAGGCGCTGCTGGTGAGTTGAGGCGCTGCTGGTGAGTTGAGGCGCTGCTGGTGAGTTGAGGCGCTGCTGGTGAGTTGAGGCGCTGCTGGTGAGTTGAGGTGTTGCTGGTGAGTTGAGGTGTTGCTGGTGAGTGGAGGCGCTGCTGGTGAGTTGAGGCGCTGCTGGTGAGTTGAGGCGCTGCTGGTGAGTTGAGGCGCTGCTGGTGAGTTGAGGCGCTGCTGGTGAGTTGAGGCGCTGCCGGTGAGTTGAGGCGCTGCTGGTGAGTTGAGGCGCTGCTGGTGAGTTGAGGCGCTGCTGGTGAGTTGAGGTGTTGCTGGTGAGTGGAGGCGCTGCTGGTGAGTTGAGGCGCTGCCGGTGAGTTGAGGCGCTGCTGGTGAGTTGAGGCGCTGCTGGTGAGTTGAGGCGCTGCTGGTGAGTTGAGGCGCTGCTGGTGAGTTGAGGCGCTGCTGGTGAGTTGAGGCGCTGCTGGTGAGTTGAGGCGCTGCTGGTGAGTTGAGGCGCTGCTGGTGAGTTGAGGCGCTGCTGGTGAGTTGAGGCGCTGCTGGTGAGTTGAGGTGTTGCTGGTGAGTGGAGGCGCTGCTGGTGAGTTGAGGCGCTGCTGGTGAGTTGAGGCGCTGCTGGTGAGTTGAGGCGCTGCTGGTGAGTTGAGGCGCTGCTGGTGAGTTGAGGCGCTGCCGGTGAGTTGAGGCGCTGCCGGTGAGTTGAGGCGCTGCTGGTGAGTTGAGGCGCTGCTGGTGAGTTGAGGCGCTGCTGGTGAGTTGAGGTGTTGCTGGTGAGTGGAGGCGCTGCTGGTGAGTTGAGGCGCTGCCGGTGAGTTGAGGCGCTGCTGGTGAGTTGAGGCGCTGCTGGTGAGTTGAGGCGCTGCTGGTGAGTTGAGGCGCTGCCGGTGAGTTGAGGCGCTGCTGGTGAGTTGAGGCGCTGCTGGTGAGTTGAGGCGCTGCTGGTGAGTTGAGGCGCTGCTGGTGAGTTGAGGCGCTGCTGGTGAGTTGAGGCGCTGCTGGTGAGTTGAGGCGCTGCTGGTGAGTTGAGGCGCTGCTGGTGAGTTGAGGCGCTGCTGGTGAGTTGAGGCGCTGCTGGTGAGTTGAGGCGCTGCTGGTGAGTTGAGGCGAGGGGTTGGCGTTGCGGAGTCGAGTGCAGCAATGGGTGCAATGGGTGCAGCAATGGGTACCAAGTGTAGGATATGAGAGCAGGAGCAGCATGAATGCCACTTGCGGGGTGTGGGGGGACACTACGCAGGGAGTCAATGGCGAGACGCCTGGCACGGGGGCCATTGAGGCGAGGTGAGGTGAGGCGAGGTGAGGTGAGGTGAGGTGAGGTGAGGTGAGGTGGTGCTGCTGCTGCTCCCCCTTCTTCTGCTCCCCATCCTGCCCTCCTTCTGGCACACCGATGCTGCCCTCCTAGTCCTGCCCCCCCCCCTCGTTCTGCAAATGTGTCACCATGAACCCAACCCAACCCAATCACTAGCTCCCCCACCTTGCCACCCATTCACCTCCACAACGACCACGTGCTACCTGTGGCAGCCATGTGCTACCTGTGGCAGCCACGTGCTACCTGTGGCAGCCACGTGCTACCTGTGGCAGCCACGTGTTACCTGTGGTAGCCACGTGCTACCTGTGGCGGCCAGGTGGTGCCCGTGGCAGCCCAGCCCAGCACCACCCTCCCACCTCACCTGCTCCTTCCTCTTCCCCCCTCCTCCATCCTTCCCTCCCGTCGCCCCCTCCTCCCCACCCTTCTCCCTCTTCCCCCCGAGTCCGCCGTCCCTCTGCCCGCCAGATGCTGTGCCCCACGCCATCCCCCTCAGCCACGCCACCAGCGGGCCTGGAGCGCCACAAGCACGTCGTGCTCGTCGCTGCCTCGCCGCCCCACCGCCTGCCCACCCCCGTCGTCAAGCCACCCCTGCCCACCACCCCCTCTGCTGCTGCTGATGCTGCTGGTGGCAGTGGCGGGGCCAGGGGCGTGTGGGAGGCAGCAGCGTGGTGGCTGGCGTGCGCCCCCACGGTGGCATCGCTCTTCGCCCACCCCCAGGTGCATGCACAGCACAGCACGTGGTGATGGCAGCATGCTGCATCTGCTGCATCGTCTCTCGTATTGTCCTTCTTTTGCGACGCCGCTGCCAACTTCATCGCTGGCTTCTGGCTGAAGCGATCACATGTTTCCGTTTCTGGGTCGATGTATTGCTGGCATGCGGGGCTTGCCCCAGCTGCATGCATCTTTCCATCAATGCGCATGCTGTGTGAGTGTGGCATCGTGTGTGTGTGGCATCGTGTGTGTGTGGCATCGTGTGTGTGTGGCATCGTGTGTGTGTGGCATCGTGTGTGTGTGGCATCGTGTGTGTGTGGCATCGTGTGTGTGTGGCATCGTGGTTGCATGACCTGGTCGCACGTTTCTTGCAATGCCATGGGAATGCTGTGGCATGACATGACATGACAATGCATGGTATGGAATGGCATGGCACGGGATGGCATGGCATGGGATGGCATGGAATGGCATGGCACGGGATGGCATGGCATGGGATGGCATGGCAGCTCTACGTCACTCTCTCGCTCATCGCTCCTCGAAACGTGCCTCAACTGAGGCAGCTATATGTCGCAGTAAGCCCCTCCCTCTCTTCGTTGCAAGGCCCTCCCCCCCTCGTTTGTCACTCACACCATCGCTCATTGCTACGATGTCACTCCAACTGTCCGCTCCCTCCGCATGTGCCCAGCATGGCAAGGCACGGCACTTTCAATAGCAGTATTAAATAGATCCAGGGTACCCGTTACTCCACTGCCTTCACCGCTTTTCAGCTTCTCACATCCCCTGCAAATTGCACAGCCGTTGTCTCCCCATCAACCCCCACGTGCGCCTGCTGATCAAAAGCAGAGTCAATGATGTCAACCCACCCACTCGCCCCACCCACTCACCCCACTCATAGAGCCTTGGGCTACGCGTTTTGTTGAGCATTGGTGACCGTCTGGTAGCAAGGATTAAGCACACAATGGCACTGTCTGCACCACACCAAGCAGGAACAGTGTAGTGACTCTACAGCCCACCCATATCGTGAAGCCCATCAATGTGTGTGCACGTGCTGCATGTGTGTGCACGTGCTGCATGTGCGTGCACGTGCTGCATGTGTGTGCTTGCCCTTCCCCACCCTCCCTCATCCCAGGCAAAGCGCAGCCCCAGGGCAGCGGAGCCAGTGGCCGACGCAGCTCGGCAGCACCCCCATCACGTGGCGCTCATTGCGGAGGGCTTCCTGGAGGCACGCAGCGTGCTGCACCGCGCTCCACCGCCCAATGAGGCCGCTCCACGTGGCGCCCAGGCGGTGGGCCCCTCTCCTGGCGGAGGAGGAGGAGGAGGAGGAGGTGGAGGAGGAGGAGGGCCCGCGGCGGGAGCTAGTGGTGTGGCAGCGGTGGCGATGGCGGGCTCAGTAGGTACGGGTGAGACAGGCATGGGCGGGGCAGGCAGGTATGTCTCGGCTATGGTTTCTTGCAGAAGCCATTGGTTTCTGAGTCTACTAAGTAGTGGTTTTGGGGTGTGGACATGAAAGCAGCTTGCTTGATCTGCTCGATATGCACTTCCTCAAGCTTCGAGTCCACACGCCTCCTGAAATAATTGTCGCGAGCAGATCTCAAGTTGTGTGTTCAACTTTGCGCATTCCTCGTGCCCGCATCCCACAGGGCGACTGCCACAGCAACCCGGGGCGGCCATGGTTCAGCAGGCAAAGCAGGTGGGCGGTGTATGTGGCGTGCATGCATTCTGACCCTGATGTTCAACGTACCATGCGCGATAATGGCATGGACGCACACTCGTGCATATCCATGCCCACACTTGTGTGCTCTCCCCTTTCCACATTCAACACCCGGACTTACATGCACATGCGAACAACGCACACACATGTGCACGCACAAGCACACAACCACACACAAGCACATTCATTCTATCGCTGCAGCAGCGGTTCTCATTCCTCTCTCTCCCTGCATCGTTCCACTCCACCGCCACCTCCCCCTAACAGGAGCCCGTGTATCCCACACCACCACAGCAGCCCCTTGCCCGCCCTGCTGCCCTCTCCCCCTCCCCCTCTCAACCCTTGCGTGCACACCAGCCCGCCTTGCCTGCCACAGCGGGGGGAGGCGTGCCAGTGGGGATGGGGGGAGGGCCAGCAGGCACCATTGCTGGTAGCGCCACCGGTGCCGCTGGGGGTGCTGGGGGTGCTGCTTGTGCGGTGGGTGTGGGCCCGGGAACAGCAGCGCCCATGCCCTCTCTCCGCACCACGAGCCCCAGCCCCCAGTTCTTCCCCACCGGCCAGCAGCAGCAGAAGCCACCACAGGCGTTTCAGCAGCTGCTACCGCAGCAGCAGGCAGCACAGCAGCAGGCAAAGCCGACAGGGGTGGCTGTGCCGACAGGGGCGAGGCTGGGAGGAGGCATGGCAGGGCAGCACGTGGGGGCTGCGGGGATGGGACCAGCTGGGGGTAGCGCTGCCGCGGGGGCACTGCCTGCTGCTGCTGCTGCTGCTGCTGCTGGAGGGGCGGGGCGCATGGCAATGGGTGGTGGGGCTGGTGGGGTAGCAGGAGTGGCAGCAGCAGGAGCATTGCAACAGCCTGGCGTGCCCCAACAGGCACAGCAGCAGCAGCAGCAGCCTCCTCAGATGGTTGTTGGGCCTGGAGGCCGCATGATGCCACGTGCCGCACCTGTAGGCATGGCAGCAGCAGCAGGCGGAGCAGCAGGAGCATCTGCAGCAGGTATGGGTGCAGCCATACCAGCAGCTGTTCCCGGACCTCAGTTGGCCAGGCCTGGTATACCCGTACCTGCCGGAGGCCCGGGAGGAGCAGCTGTAGGCATGGCAGGCCGCGGAGGACCAGGTTTGGCTGCCTCTCAGCCAGGCCTTGCCCGTGGGCTGGGAGCTGGTCGGGGAACAGGCCCGGGAATAGGTCCGGGGGTCGGCCCGGGAGTTGGCAGTGGAGCAGGTTTCATGGGGCGAGGAGGTCCAGGCGTGGCAGCAGAGGTGGTGGGGGACTCACAGGGGGGTGCAGCAGCAGCGGGCATGGGTGGGCGGGGGGTGGGCCTGGCACAGCAGGGCAGACCAGGGCAGGCAGCAGTGGTGGGGGTTGGGCCGGGGATGGGGATGGGGATGGGGATGGGGGGAGCAGGGGGAGCAGCAGGGGGGGCGATAGTGGGGGGCCAGGCCGGCATGGCGAGGCGCGTAGTAGGGGGCGTCATGGGGGTGGGTGGTCCCATGGCAGGGGCAGCGGGAGGAGTGGTGGGAGTTGGTGCGGGCATGGCAGGGGCGGCAGGGGGTGGAGCCGCTGGTGGTGCTGGCGGACAGATGGGTCAGCGGCCTCCCCTGCAGCAGCAGCAACAACAGCTGCAGCCACAGGCACAGCAGCAGCAGCAGCAGCAGCAGCAGCAGCAGTTCCAGGCACAGCAACGACCAGCACAGCCACAGTTTCAGCAGGTGCAGGCGGGTGGAGGAGCAGGAGGGGCAGGCGGGACAGGAGGAGTGGGTGGAGTGGTGGGGGGACAGGCAGGGGGCGTGCAGCGAGTGGGTGTGGGGCAGGGTGTGGCAGGGCAGCAGGCCACCACAGCAGGAATCGCTGCCGGGACAGCAGCAGGTGGGGTAGCAGCAGGCGGGCCATCAGGTCCCATGGGAGGAGGAGCAGCAGCAGCAGGGCCTGGGCCTGCCATGGCTGCTCGCCCGCTGCCTCACGCGCCTGGCGCTGCTGCCCCTGCTGCCGCTGTTGCTCCACACCCCACATCCACTGCTCCTGCTCCTGCTGCCCCCCCTGCTGCTGCTGCTGCTGCTGCAGGAGCAGGCGGTGTGAGGCCGCCAGGACAGCCCCCACGGTACCTCAAGCTGTGGGAGGTAAGCAGGCAGGCAGGGGCCTTCCTGCTCCGTGGGAGTTAATCAGTGTGCTTTCGTCCGCTCAGCCTGCTTGCTCGCTCATGGCTCACTCTCTCCAAGGATCTGTCTTCTAAAAAATGCTCTTGTCAATATCTTGTCATTTAGTCGATTATGTTTTTTCCCATGCAAACAGTGCTGAGTCACATCATGTGCGACGGTGCAGTGCTATATCCTATCGTCCTGACCCTTGCCAGTGCACATCCCTGCCCATCTTGCTCCATCCACCTCAGGGCACACTCATGGGCCAACGCAAGGACAAGTCTGTTGAGATCTGCCGCATGGAGGTGAGATCTGCCGCATGGAGGTGAGATCTGCCGCATGGAGGTGAGATCTGCCGCATGGAGGTGAGTGTGCCAGTTCTGGTCCAGTTACGCGTATGGTATTGTTGTAACACGAGTTGAGAGGTTGGGAATTGGAAGTACCATGTGAAACAAAGGCCAGGTTACGAAGCGCTCGGCCAAATTGCTCGACCTCACTAAGGTTGAGCGCGAGGCAGGGAGCCGGTGAGCGAACGACTGTCGGGGTGTTGGGCGCGAGGATTCTTTCGCTTTGCCCGACATTTTGCACAGCTCGGGTCTCCGCTGTCTCTGCGGGGCATACCCCATAAGTTGCGGTGTTTTGGTTGACACCCTTTCATCGATCGCACTGTTCCTCCACTGTTCACCCTTTGCAAATAGAGGTCTTCCAAGAGGATTAATGGCTTGCTTGTCAAGAATTTTCCATCCGTGTGCATGCGAACCTGCCCATGCAAGGAATGTGCAGGTAGAGGTATTTGTTTACTCAACCATTGTTCGTGTTGAACCTGCACAGCTGGGTGTTTGCATCTCCCATGCACGTATGTGTGACTGAATGGGTGAATGCTTGTGTGCGCGTGATGTGTTGTTCCCTCTATTGCATGTACCTGTGGGATTGGCAGGGCTACCACCAAGCAACATCTCCTCCCAAGTATGTATCTCGACCCCAGTCCACTACCTAAACTGCTGTATGCACCACTCACTTCTCTCATCCTCATGTCACTGGCGTTGCAGCAGTTGGTTGTGACCAAGCACTGACACACCTCCACTGGCGCTACCAAACTCTTCGATGTTCTGCTTTGTGCTCCTTCCCGTATGTATCGTTCTTGCTTGTTCATAAGTGCAAGCGACTGTATGATGCGCATTTGTCACCCATAAGCCTCGCATCGATCTCCTCCCCCCGACTCCTGCTCACAGCCTGGCAGCAGACTGGCCGGATACAATGCAGATAGTGCGGCTGGTGTCGCAGGAGTGCATGAACAACAAGTGAGTCACAGGAGTGCATGAACAACAAGTGAGTCACAGGAGTGCATGAACAACAAGTGAGTCACAGGAGTGCATGAACAACAAGTGAGTCACAGGAGTGCATGAACAACAAGTGAGTCGCAGGAGTGCATGAACAGCAAGTGAGTCACAGGAGTGCATGAACAACAAGTGAGTCGCAGGAGTGCATGAACAACAAGTGAGTCACAGGAGTGCATGAACAACAAGTGAGTCACAGGAGTGCATGAACAACAAGTGAGTCGCAGGAGTGCATGAACAACAAGTGAGTCACAGGAGTGCATGAACAACAAGTGAGTCACAGGAGTGCATGAACAACAAGTGAGTCGCAGGAGTGCATGAACAACAAGTGAGTCACAGGAGTGCATGAACAACAAGTGAGTCGCAGGAGTGCATGAACAACAAGTGAGTTGCACTGCCGCACACCCAATACGCGTGGCACAAATTAGACGTACATACTCAACTAAGGTGCATCTCATCTCCAGCTGTAGTTGGCGAGATTCAGTAGGAAGCAATCGCTATTACAACTCACGAGGTCTGTGAGAGCTGAATTCATCAAAAGAGAAGCAGCAAGTAAGCTGTTCCAACTGCTTGAAACCCCTCCAGCTCCCACCCACATGCCCTTCATCTCTTGCTCCGCTCCTCGACTCCTTCCGTCTTGGCCACTCTTCCCCACTCTCTCCCTCACCACCCACTCCAGGGAGCTAGCAGGCAAGGCGGAGCTGCTGGTGTTTCGGCCCATGTCATCACACGTGTTCCTGCAGCAGATGGCTGAGAAGAAACTCGTGAGTGCAGCAGATGGCTGAGAAGAAACTCGTGAGTGCAGCAGATGGCTGAGAAGAAACTCGTGAGTGCAGCAGATGGCTGAGAGAGAGCAAAACTAGGTGGTGTGTGAGAGAGGACGTTCATGGATCAAATTTCTAAACGGGTTGTTGTTTACTGCTTCCAAGCCTGTCCCCCTTGCAAGGTTGTCTGTCAAGCACCATCCATGCCATCATGCACCATCCATACCATCCACACCCCTGCAAATGCAATCAAAACACGTTACATGCACATACAGCGTCCATCCTGCACTGCTCTCTTGCACATACACTCATATATGCATATGACATGGATGCATGTGACATGGATGCATGTGGCATGGATGCATGTGGCATGGATGCATGTGACATGGATGCATGTGACATGGATGCATGTGGCTTGGATGCATATGGCATGGATGCATATGACATGGATGCATGTGGCATGGATGCATATGACATGGATGCATGTGACATGGATGCATGTGGCATGGATGCATATGGCATGGATGCATGTGACATGGATGCATGTGGCATGGATGCATGTGGCACGGATGCATGTGACATGGATGCATGTGACATGGATGCATGTGGCATGGATGCATATGGCATGGATGCATGTGACATGGATGCATGTGACATGGATGCATGTGGCATGGATGCATATGGCATGGATGCATATGACATGGATGCATGTGACATGGATGCATGTGACATGGATGCATGTGGCATGGATGCATATGGCATGGATGCATATGACATGGATGCATGTGGCATGGATGCATATGACATGGATGCATGTGACATGGATGCATGTGGCATGGATGCATATGGCATGGATGCATGTGACATGGATGCATGTGGCATGGATGCATGTGGCATGGATGCATGTGACATGGATGCATGTGGCATGGATGCATATGGCATGGATGCATATGACATGGATGCATGTGACATGGATGCATGTGGCATGGATGCATATGGCATGGATGCATATGACATGGATGCATGTGGCATGGGTGCATATGACATGGATGCATATGGCATGGATGCATGTGGCATGGATGCATATGGCATGGATGCATATGACATGGATGCATATGGCATGGATGCATGTGTCACCTTGTTGATGTTCATGTGCCACCTCGCTATGCATGCATGTACATACATGTGGCCGTACGTATGCATATACATGCATGTATCCATCTGATCTCTGCTCGTGCATCTTATCTGACTGTGCATGCATGCATGTATCCATCAGTGCACCGTCATTCAGCTGCCGTCACAAACCCTACTCCTCGGCACCGTACCGGACCGCTCCAGCCGCCTTGTGGGCATGCTATTCCCCAAGGTAATTGGCCCTTCCCGCTGTTTAGCGTTCCGTTTTGTTGCTCGCTGTGAACCAGGACCAAGAGTTCAACTGAACAGTAGAGTGGTTTGTTCTTCCAATTTTCTCATTACGCAAACTCTTTGCAAAAGGGCATACTATGTGCATGGCACAGAGCAATACGCTACTTTAAGAAGCTCATATCGTCCCGCAGCATGCCCCTGCATCCCCCGGGGTCCCCTTCTCTGCGTTTCTCCCCTCTAGTTCCCTGTAGTGTTCCACTCGCTCCGCCTTTTCTGACATCCAGCATTCCCGCCATATCTGTTTCCCATCTCGTTTTCTTTGCTGCTGTACCATGATGTGCTGTGCTGTGCTGTGCCGTGCCGCCATCGCATGGCATGACAGGACATGGTGCAGTTCCAAGGGGCCCGCCCTCCACAGCAGCAGCAGCCGCAGCAACCGATGCAACAGTAACAGCGAGCAAGAACAGCAGCAGCAACAGATGCAGCAGTAACAGCAGAATAGCAACCGCACACGCGTTGAAATCAGATTCCGTCAATGGTGTTTTCCCACCACTGTACCTTCCACGCATCCATGTCCCATTCCTTTGCTCTTTAAGCCGCCCACCTTTTCAAACAAGCTGCTGCTGCTGTTGCAGCTGCTGCCCGCGAATCCAATGTGGGTAAAGCTTCCAATTCGGCCTACCGTAGCCTGTGTCGCTTGAGCAAATCCACCCCCCCTACCCAGTTATAGTTTATATTCTTATGCATAAATGCATGCAGAAATGTTGGTGTTGTATCATGTTGGAATCCTATATATTGGTGGTGTACCCCAAAGCCACCTTTCTTTGCTCTATATCTTGTACCTCTTTCAATAATGAACCCCCTTCTTCCTACTCTCGATACTCGCACTTCCCAAACCCTAGCTCTTAAGTTAAGATTATCTTCTAACATGGTATAAGAGCGTGTCGATCCAAATAACCAATTTTGTTTCTGCCATGGCGCCCCTTGTGCTCTGGCCCGTCACACTGCTGCCCATCGCACAATTTTCACTCGTCGCGCAGCCCATAATGCACAACCGCGGATCCCTCATTTTCGCGCCCCGAAGGCCCCCCGATTTCGAAGTGTTGACGGGAAATAGCCCCGCCCTCGCTTGGGCAAAGCTGATCTCGCAGTCGAGTGCGCGGAAGGTATAGTCGACTGCCCGCAGAGTTCGACATCGACCGCGCGCAGAAGACTAACTCGACCGCGCGCAGAGGACACAGTCGACAAGTCTGCAGAGGACGCGGTCGACGAGCCCGTAGAGGTGCTGCTCGACCAACCCGTAGAGAGGACCTAGTCGACGAGCCCATAGAGGAGCATTGGTCGACGGGCCCTGCTCGACGAGCTCGTCTTGACGAACGTTGTTCGTCGGAGCATCGAGCTGGTCGACGCAAGTCTCTCGATTGTGGAATGTCGCCCTGGAGGTTCTCGCGAAATCAACTTGCGGAACGGCATCACGTGCTCGATGGTGCACAGTGTTAAGTTACGATACATGTAAGAATTGACCAAGGAAAGAAGAAACAAGCAAGGTATTGAACCCTAGGAAATAGAACGTACAAATATAGACTAACACATAAAAGCTATAACAAATATAGCTTGACACACCCCCATATTCTAGGTGATGGTAGTCCTGTGTAGAGCAAAACACAACAAGGGTCACAGGACCTGTCAGTACGAACAAGCAACAGTTACAAGACCAGTTTACAACAATAAAGCAACTCTCGGGGTGGATCTCAATATCACCACACAGTCCTTGGTGAGGATATTTGCGGTGTTGGCCTTAGAGACCACACATCGCACGAGTGCCTGACCACGCTGCTGCATTTCTCATAGAAATAACGAAGCAGGATGTGCTTCGCCTTCCCAACCAGTCGAGGCTCCTCGCACAGACACACACTATGACCTGCCAATGTCATAAGCTTGGCTGACTCAATGTTTGCTCAAATTGGCTTCTTAGTTGCCTCTCAGCTGGATGCTTAGCTTGAAGATAGTAGCTTAGTGAGAAACAAACAAGCAAAATTGTGAGAATTTGGCCCTTTGCTGGTAACTGGTGTTGCTTACCGTTGCTAGCCAACGGTACACCCATCCTTCCAGTTCGATCCTTCCTGCTATACTTCTCTGACTGTTGCGTTTGTTGGGCTATCCCTCTTATAGCTCAGACCTTATCTCCTGTCTAAGCAATTATATATGAATCATGCAATTCTAACAACTATATTATCAAACCTTATTAATTGCGTAATAACGATCTCCCGCACGTCACCTTCCATGTCCACATTCTCTACCACGTAAAACGCATCGCCTTGCTTCGCCATCTCTCAAAACAGCTGACTCGGCCCTTGCCCACCATCGATTACCTGTGGAGCTCCCAGCCAACCACAACCACGTAGATATTTCTCTGCTGCGCTAACTTGTGCTCATCCACATCCTCATGTCAAAACATTGACTCCTAATGACCGCCTCAAACCTGCCTCTGTAAACTGATACCGCTCTTGTAGTTTCTTGAGGTGCCACCAAGCCATCTTCGCAACCTCCTTATCAATCTCCACGAGGATTCACTTGTCGACCAAAGAACCTGCTTTCAGCTACGCCGCTAATCCCGTACCGATCGCCCCAACCCCCTCGTTGGGATCCACTTTTAGTACCACTGTTGACCCTAGCAATCGCATGGTGTCGACGCACAACTCCCTCGGATCTTCCACCGCTGACGCGTCGTCCTGGGCCTGCTCTCACTCGGCTTCCAGCTGGCGCCAATCTTTCTCCCCTAGCTCTTCTTCTAGTGACACCTCTCTGCACTAGTATTCTTTCTTTGGATCTTGCGTAACAAACCGCACTGACAGCTGCACAATAGACCCTCGCATCTCCGAGTACCGTATTCGGTACTTTATTTTCTCCTCTCACATCTAGATGGTTGAGGCAACCTTGTACAGGAAATCTACCCCCCAAAACAACTCATAGTCTTTGGACTTGGACACCCCACATTGCACATGCAGTACGCACTTCACTTTGGTGCCTCGCTTACAACCTCCATAGTACTCTTGGTTTTTGGCATTCACCTCGCTTCCCGTCATTTCGTTGTCATGAGGAGGTAACCCTCCACTAGCAGCGTCCCAGGTTGAGTCAACCGCAACTTCCCCACCAGCTTCCGTCCCAGCAAGGCGGGAGCCGTGCCCGAGTCCACGATCGCCTGTTGGGCCGGAAGACCATTGATTGTTATCGTACCTGGTGGCGACAAGATGCTCGCTCATACGTCAATTGTGCTGCCTGACACCTCATACGTGCCAATTGGTGGCGACGAGACACTTGCTCCTCTTCATCTCTATTGTCGGCGAGACTCCTCGGGCCGTCAGCCAGTAACTCGGGTGTTACAAGCATCGAGAAGTAATTTGGTGCACGCAATCATATTCGGTGCTATAACTATAATTACAAAGTAAAGCAATGAACTAGGAAATAAGAACAAAAATAAGCAAGTTCATGTAATAACGGACAACGTACTCTCATATCCTCGCTTCCACCTTCCTCTTCTTGCGCCAGCAATGTGTGGGCGTCTTTCATCCCCTGCCTCCAACTCAGCTAGCTGGGCTTTTAAGCAGGCTATCTCTGCCTGCCGATCTCAGCTCTCCTCGAGTACTCGTCGCTCCCGTCGAGTGGCATATCAGTCTTTTTCGTGATGCCCACTCCTGCCACAACATTCACACAAGGGCGCCTCCGGACAGTCATGCCACATATGGCTCTGATCTCCGTACCAAGCACGTCGCCAGGTTACAGACACTCCCTCCATATGTGCCCTCCGAATTGGACGTCATCATGGCCACCATCCACGCAGGTCGCCTCTGCTCTGGTGCTCGCTCGCCTAGGCGCTCCACTTCGAATAGCCGACGCCCCATTTCTACTCACTCTGCCACCTCGTACACTTCCTTCAGCATTGCATATGCACCCAAGTCAAATATTTTGCACTTGCACGTCTCGTTGCAGCTCCGCATTTAGTCCCCCTAGGAATCTCCCGATTAGGTGGTTCTGGTCTTGACAATTCACGTCCTCCCTATCAACAACTCCCCTGGCTTCATTTTGAACTCGTGTAACTCGCTTACGCGTTCCACCGCCTGCAGAGGAAACTACTCCCGCGACATTCCAAGGAACCTCGCTATCAGATTTTTCCCCCAAGGCGGTCGTCCTATGGCCCACTCCAGCAAATCCCGCCGAGAGATGCGGTAATACATTTCCGCCCCCCCTGTGAGTGTATTTGCCAACCCTTGGAAGAACTCCTTCGGGTCCAACCGGTCCTTTTCCCATTGTGGTGTGGCTCCTAGACCACTACTCCCTTCCACTTGTGCGCCGCCCTCTGGACCAGTCACACCATCACTAGGGCCTCACTACCCTTCTCCTGCACCTGTACCTTGTAGCTCCCGCTGCTCTCCACGCAATTCACATGGCACTTTTCCCGATAGCAGTTGCATAGACTATAGTATGTCAGTTCAACTTCTTTCCCACACCAGTTCACTTCTTGTGATGGCCTTGACCAATACTGTTATCTCGTGAGGTAAAAACTTGCAGTAGGAAACGAGAACATACAAATAGTGTAGTCCCATTGCCCAATCACTAATTACTACCCTCGTTCCCACGACTGAAGCTAGGCTCTATGTCGGAGAATCGCGTCTTCCTTGCACGCTCTTCGTCTCATCTCTCCTGGCTCTCCTCTTCTTGTATGTTCATGTTCTGCCTCAGCCACTTCGTTTGCATACTCCCTTCGCAACTCTCCCCTCTCCCTTGTGTTGCCTCTACTCTCCTGGCGTCCCGCAGCTGCGCGGTGTGCGGATTCTCCAGTGCAGTCGACATCATGAACTGCATGTATCGGGCCCGGACCTCGGATAAAGCCACCCAGTTCCTTATAGTGCCCGCTGTCACCGTGTCTGGCAAGACCCGTGATGCCCCCACTGGTAGAATGGGCTCTCGACCATACAGGAGACTATACGATGAATGGTCCTGCAGCGCAGCCTGCTTCCCAGACCTGTACCCTGCACCAATCCAGTCCAGCTCATTATCCCAGTCCCCTTTTCTCCATTCCCCATATGTCCGCAGCCCTCGCTTGATGGTTTGCACTATGCGCTCAGTCAGCCCACAATAGCTTTGCTCCTCTAGCATGCCTCACACCTCTCTAGCCGTTCTTTCACTTGCCTGCGCATCCCCTCCCACCACCAGCCCGTCTTTAGCAGCTGCACGGTCTTCTTGTGCTAAAAGTGCCCCAGCTTCGTATGCACCTCCTTGATCACGGCTTCCTGTTCACTTTGCACTGGCACTAGCTTCCAGCCATCTTCAGTTTGTATCTGCAACTGCTGTTGATACCACCTCTAGTGGTAACCTCGAGCCCTCACTCTCTCTGGCACTGTCTCATCCTCCTCGGTCTCTCCCTTCACCCATTCCATCGCCTTTTCATCCTGCCAAATATCCGCAGGCCCCTTGCTCCCCCTAGCCCCATTCTGCTCCACCTCCTTAGCCAGTAGGATCAATGTCTGCGCCGATTCCAGCAATGGTTGTGTAGGCTCTGGCCGTGCCTGCGCTGGCTCCAGTGGCGGTGGATTGCGGGAGAGGCCATCGACGTGCTGCAACGTCTTTCCGAGCCAGTGCCGTATCTTGAAATCATACTCCTACAGCTTCACCTCCCACCTCGCGTTCCTGCCCGTCAGCCCTAGTGTGGTCATCAGCCATGTCAGCGGTTGATGGCCAGTGACCAAAGAAAACTCCCGGCCTTGCAGCCCGAAGTTCCCTCAGCTTATCCAGCAATTGCACCTTTGCTTGCTGGATCCCTTTTTTTTTTTTTTTTTTTTTTTTTTTTTCTCGCAGCCCCAACTTGTCCCTGGGTTCATCCAGCTTATCCAACACTTGCACCTTTGCTTGCTAGATCCCGATCTGTCCCCCCCGAACTTCGTACCCCAAATACTGCACCGTCTGCTCCCCCCATCTGCATTTCTTCGGGTCGCAGGTGAGCCCTGCCTCTTCTATCGCACTCAAAGTTCTCTCCCTATCTTCCAGGTGTTGCTGCTCCGTCACACTGAAGTTGACCACATCATCGATGTAGCACTCCGCACAGTCCACCCCCCGCAACACTGCATCCATGATCCGTTGGAACACAACCGAAGCGTTCCTCAGACCAAAAGGCATGTACAGCCACTCGTATAGCCCATCTGGTCCGTGAAAGGCCATTTTCCTCACATCATCCTCCCTGGTTTTTATCTGATTAAAGCCAGCGTTGTGAAGAACACCCCGTCGGCCAACTTGTCGAAAAATTCTTCAGCCATCGGCATCAGGTACCTGTCCGGCACATTGATTTTGTTGAGCGCCCTGTAATCCCCGCACATCCTCCTGCTCAGTACCTCTTTTGTCAAGTCTTTCCTGGCCGCTATCATAGTTGGGGTGGCGTATTCTGACTCTGACCTCCTGACCAGACCTGCCTCCAGTAGCTTCTCTATTTCTCCTTGCGTATCTCCTCATCCCCGGGCGGGATCTTCCTTCTCCGGTGGAACACTGGCTCGTCACTGCTCAACTTCAGCGCCATCTCCTTTACCGTACACTTCTCTAGCTCCTGCAGTGTCAAGGCAAAGCACTTCCTATGCTTTGGCCAGTAGCGCCAGCATGGCTTCCTTCCCTTCCGTACTCATGCTTTCCCATATCTTCCACTCCGGCTCCTCCTTCTCCTAGCAGACCCATACCCCTTGCCTGTCTGGTGCTACATCAGTCTCCTGAGAACTGTCTCCCTCCACATTCGCTATACTCTCCATCTCATCATGTACCCGTCCATGGCATTCCCCAGCTCCCTCTTCCTCTCCTCGCTTACGCCGGGTACTGCCATGACGTTTTTCCCATACCCCATGGCCAACTCTTGCTCCAATGCAGTGGGTTCTTCCCACCGCCCTTTCCTCCTGGCCCCGGCTTCCCTCCTTCCAACCAATACCTTGCCGCACCTTCATACGAAACCAAGGTGGGTAAAGCCTGCCCCTCCTCTCCCACCTGGTTGCACGGGTAGTGCTTGCTGTAACTCCTCTTGAAAACTGGTGTTGGAGTCCTCCCTGGCTCAAGAATGTCGCGCACCTTCCGCCACTCTGCCCCTTCACCCCTTCTACCTCCCTCTGCAGGTCTTCCATAGGCACAACGTTCTGCCAGTACATCCTAAGGCGGTGTGCGTATGCTCCATCCGCGCTGCGTAGCTACTCACTCCCTTTCCCACCTGTCTCTTCACCCTTTCTCTCACCAGCCTCACAGGTTCTCGGCTATCCCCTTCCATGTCCAGGTGTTCTAGCAGGTACGCCACCCTGCCCTGCCTTTCCTGCAACTACTCCATGATCTGAAACAAATCTCCCATCAGCTTGGTCCTGACGTCTTGTTCACCCTTCCCTTTTCCTGCCCATGATACCCCTTGGCATTCCCATCCTGCCACTAGTAGGTCCATGTGCCCGCAGCTTGCCACCTCCACCTCAGTCATAGCCCTCACATCATTCACATCTCTGCTTATTGCCGCCCGAATCACTTCCTTCAGCAGCCTTGGAAAATCCTTGTGCAGCTTCCACACATTATCCTCAACCATTCTCCTCACCACCGGCGCTCGTTCTACATATATCCACTGCTTCACTGCTATCCCATTCCTCACCATGGCTGCTAGCCTTGCCCCTATTCCCCCGAACACCTCCACTAGTCGGTTGCTGCCAATCAGTCTATTGGCTCGGCTCATTCATGAGCTTCATCCTTGGGTCCTCCCTCTCTCCCTCGGGTGCTGTAGCTCCTCTATCCCCTGCTTTGCTGTCTCCTTCTTAGCTGCTCGATAAGCCCTCTTCGGCTCTGTCTTTACGAATTGCATGAGCAGATGTCCCAGTTGTTCTCCCTTCTTCCACCATATTTTTCTGAACTCCACGCTTTCCTTCCAAGAGCGTATGATCATCCCCAATGCAAACACCAGCACGTCGAAGTCCTCAGATTCTGAAATTCCTCACTTAATTCTAATTTGCGTCTCGTGCTTCTCCCCTGACAGTAGAGTCAGTTCTATCGGCGTCCTTGTGCACGGCATCCATTTCGACTCCCCATGTTCTGCAGTCATCACCAGCATTCCCTTGGCCACATGTCTCTCTGGTGCCAGCAGTCGCAGCTTCTCGGCCATTCCCTTCCCTAATATCACGCTCTGTGCTCCAGTATCAATGATTGCTGTTCTTGCCTTCTCTCCTTCCACTATCAATGCCTCGCTCTTGATTAGTAACATAGAAGTTTGGCAAGCCAATCTTTCCTACGGGTGATGTGCGGCTGTACACCTCTCTTCCTCCTCTTCCTGCATCTGCCCCTTCTCTCGCTCCTTTCTCACAAGTTTTTGACTAGCATCCTTCCCTCTGCTGCGTAGCCCCATCTCCTCCCTCCTTCGCCACACCATGAGTGTTGCTTGCTCGTCCTGTTCCACATCTTCCTCTTCTTTATCCCTAGCATACATCCCTGCCTCAGCTTCTCTATGTGATCCCACTACCTGCAGCTGCGCCTTCATTCTGCTGATATACCTCTCCAACTCTTCTACGTTCCTCTTCGCTGCTCCCTCCCACTGATAGCAGTCCTTTGCTGCATGTCATTTCTTACTGCAGATCTCACACTTTGGCGCATCTGGGCATTCCTACCTCCGGTGCCCCGGCTTCCCACAGCAGTCACAATTCTTGCAGTCCCTGCAGATGTGTCCCGGCTGTCCACATCGGTGGGACGTTCGCGCCTCTGGCCTGCTCTCCCCTCGACCCGCTGGCTTGTCCTTAACTTCTGGTATCATAGCCGCTGCCCAAGTCGGTCCACAGGTCCGCTGTGTCGTCCGAGGCCGGTACGCTTCATACTTCCTCTATGCGAGCTCCATTTTCTCCTCTAACTCAAATACCGCATCCAGTGTTGCATCTGCCCCCAGTTCGTACACCTTCATCCGCAGTCCGTTCCCCATGGTGTTGTCCATTCCATTGAGGAATTTATTGATGAGAAGACCCATGTCTGAACACGTCACATCTTCTGCCACATTGTGAGCAACGACTCACTCCGCCCCCTCCTGAAATCCTAAAACTCTCTTATCCTCTCTGCAGTGTGTCCAGGAAACTGTCGCTGGAGCCGCGTCAGGAAAGCCTCCGTGGGGACTTCCCAGTACCTTCCTGCCTTCTCCAGCAACTCGTCCATCTTCATCCTGCACAGTGTTTCTGCCTCCCCTTCCAATATATTTGGCAGACTCAGGAAGAAGTCCACCGAGTCCATGCCGCTCCTCTCGCACCTGTATCTCATATTTCCCACTTCTATAAGGTAGTTCTTGAGCGTGGGCCCCGTGCGCTAATCTCCTAAGAATCGCGCCGGCACTTCCACTCGTGTGACCATTGTTGTGCTACCTCGCCCGTCTTCCCATGACTCGCTCGGCCCTCTTGCCTATCTTCCTGGCGCTTCTCTTTCCCTCGCCCGCTCAATTCCCTCCCTTGCCACTCTGGCGCGCTCCATGCTGTATGCCAAACCACTGCCTCCTCCTTTGCTCCTGCGGTGATCCTATCCCGCCTCCCTTCACATCTCCTCTGCACCCATCCTTGCTCCTGTCTGCCCCCATTGCCTCTTTGGCGAGTAACGTGCCAGTGCCCATCCTTCCCCTTGCCTTCCGCATTTCAGGTCAGGCGACCGTTCCTCGGCCCTTGACCTCCCATCGTACTGCCGTCTCGTCCCCGGTGAGCCCAACTCGCCAGTACGTCCTCCATCGCGTTGCTGATACTGATATCGCGAGCGAAACCCGCCTCCTCGCCTCTTGTCACGGTGCTGTCGCAGATCGGGCGAGCGAGACCCGCCTCCCCACCTTCCCTCATGGCGCTGACGTATTCCTGGGCGAGCGCGAGCCGACTCCCCGCCTCTCGTCACAATGCTGGCATGGATCTGGCGAACGCGAGCCGTCTCCCTGCCTCCTGTCACGATGCTGACGCGGATCTGGCAAACGCGAGCCGCCTCCACGCCTCCCGCCACGATGCTGACGCGGATCTGGCAAACGTGAGCCGCCTTCCCGCCTCCTGGCACGATGCTGACGCGGATCTGGCGAGCGCGAGCCGCCTCCCCACCTCTCGTCATGATGCTGGCGTGGATCTGGCAAACCCAAGCCGCCTCCCCGCCTCCCTTCACGATGCTGACGCGGATCCGGCAAATGCGATCCGCCTCCCCGCCTCCCGTCACAGCGCTAACGCAGATCGGGTGAGCGTGCCCCGCCGCTGCGCCTCCCATCTTGGGTCCGACGCAGATCTGGCGACCGCAGTCCGCCTCTGCTCTTCTCTCCGACACGCACCTGATGTCCGGACACATGCGATTCTTTACGCAGCTGGTTTCGCGCACCGCTTGTTCCATCCGCCTCCTCCTTGCCTGACTATGCCATCTCGCCTACCTGCGTAGGGTCGGCCACGTTGACTCCAGCGGGCATGTCGCGCTGCTCACCTGCGCCTTCCTCCTGGGCTTCGCCCTCATCCTCCGCCTTGCCTTCGCAATTCGACTCCAGCGACTTGTTTGCCGTGTCGGTCTCGTCTTCCCTGTCAACATCGAGGTCTTCCTGCCGACCCGAAACAAGCCCTCCAAGCCTCGCACGCGACCTCGATCTTCGCGATGGCGATAACCTTCTTCTGGCAAGCGATATGCTCCCGTGTCCTGGTGATACCTGCGAACACCACCAACTCCATGGTGCACTTTTGTCCTCCACGGGTCACTCCCCACCGTAGAAAATACAGATTCGCCTCCTCCTTTTCATGCGGACCCTCCCTCTCGGCGATCTGGCGCAAGAGGCACTTGATCCGCGCGAAAGGCCGGCCTTCGCTTCGATTGCTCAGGCCTCCGCGGCGACCTCTCCAACGATCGCTTGCGCTCATGGGGGATTGTGCCGCGAGCAATCTAGTTCCTGCCTTAACGCAGCTCGATCACATCCATGCTTGCACGCTTGTTATATGAAAGTGTTGCGGCTCTCACCCCGAGGGTCCTCCCTGAGTGGTGTGTCACCTGGCTGTAGGACTGAGGTAGCAACGTTCCACTACACGAAAGGATAACAAGCGGAAAGCAATTAGAGGGTGTGTGTCCGCTGAACTTACCTTGCTCAGGCCTGAGTTGCGCATTTCCCAATGTGCGCCTCGGTCTTGGGCCTAGTTGGTCCAGATTGGTTCGTTAGATTGCACCCCCCATATGTTACACTACACAAAGTAATGTAACTATTCTCAATATCTTGAGGTGTGCCCTTTTTGCGGGCTTCGCGATTACTTGAATCTTGAAACCAAGGCTTTGGTTTTTCATCATAAACTCATTCTTGAGTTCTTGATAGGTCTGCTGCACACACCTGCGATTCACCGAACGTTCCACATACGACAAAACAGAAATCGTGCACAAGACGCACGACAAATTAGAAACCGCGCACAGGACACAAAAGACCGCGCGACACGCGACTAGCGATAACTCGCTATTGACTCGACACACACATTCGACATCATGACTCGACATTCACACACTATTATAAGCATGAAATAAATATTATCTCACGCCCCCATACCATCCCATGCACACACGCATGCACGTACACGGACAACAAGCCGAGTGCAAATCGTAGGGTTGCACCAACGTGCAAATCGCTTCTCCGTACACAAGGTACCCTCAGTGAAAATTTGCTATGCGCCTCGCTCCTCTCTATACAACAGAAAATCGACCTGTACAACAAGAGAGGAAACAAGAAGGATAAGATTGCATTTTACACAAGCGCAGAAGGACTACCCGACAAGAAGAGACTCACACTGACATTGCAAATACTGCAATAAGGCCGGACACACGATCAAAGAATGCTGGAAGCTGAACGGCAAATACAAGCAACAAGGAGGAGGACCCCACCAGCAAGCAGCGCGCAACCCGACCGTTTCTACGCCCGCCGTCGCCATCACCTCTCATACTCCCGCACGCATCTCTGCAAATGACAAAGGAATGACCAAAGTGTTAACCTGCATGGTGCGACACGGACCCCCTCGACCCAACCGTCACTACCGATTCTTCCACAGCTGGGAAGACATGCGGCAAGACCCACCTCGAGAAAGACCTCAAGGCCAGGTTGAAGAAGTGGAGAATGATCCTACCTACGATGAGCTCTCAGTTGGCCGCATGCAATACGACTGGCAAGCGTCGCAATGGATCCAAGAGTCGCCACCTGCACGCATCGCACATGACGATGAAGGGTATGATTACGAGAACGACCACGACATGGACCATCAATCTGACTCAGAAACTCGCAAACCTCGCTAAGGCCAAGAAAGATATCAACAAGTGGTACCTAGACAGTTGCTGCGGTCAACAAATGGTTTCATCAATTGGGGTTCCATGCGAGCGAGCGGTGTACCAGGGGGCTCGATAGTTTGACTATCGAGGGGGTGCCGTTTGACTCTTCTGACGCGAGTCAAAGGGTACGAAATCAGGACCGCATGTGGGGTCCTGGCACGCGCGTGAGGCCCCACAGGGCATGCGCGTGTGCCACGTACTGTTGCGAGCGTGCTGTACAGCACGATCGCAACAAGACAGGGCACGTTTCTACCCTGTCCCGAACTGTACATGCACATGATCGCAATCATGCGCGCTGTACAGCACGACCGAGAAATATCTCAAACGTGGCGTGTGGCAGGTGGGGCGCATGGGATCTCGATTGAAAAACAGAATCCCGCGCTGACTCACGGAACAAGAAATTGCGCGCAAATGTCTGGCCGCATAAAAGAATGATTTTGCCGTAGGTACAATTCGGTTGTTCACGTCATCAAATGGTTAAAACCGTTTTACAGCTGTAAACTCGCATGAACTTCATGTGAGGCTTATGGGAGCCATATGGGAGTCACATGAAACCGCAAATGTTCATGTGAGGAGTCAGCAATGGAATTGCCTTGTGTTACAAGAGAAGAAAAAAGGCAACATCCTAAGAAATTATGCAACCGTTTTCTATTACAGCGTGGCAAAAATCAAGACCTTGTTCTACAACTACTTTTATGCCTGCCTTTGTGTGTGCGTAGGATTTTATATAAATATGTGCCTGTAATTGTTTATGTAATACAACAACTATTTTTCATTTCGCCTTTCAAGTTCGTTTTCTACTACTACGTATTGACGAGAGTAGAATCGCTACCGTGGTGCTGCCGAAACTCTGCTCGACCAGCTTACTTGGCTTACAGGCTGAGAAAGGCATAACTACTCGCTTGCAATTTTTCTACGCCCTTGGCTAGGAGGTGACAAGCCGTCACGCTCGAAGGGCTGCAAGTGATGTTAAGTGTTGCCGAGTACAAGCTTGTACTACCAGTTTAAACGCTTTCGCATAACGTTATAGCTGTTAACACATGGTATCAGAGCTGGTACTTAGTCGTTTTCAACGTATCCAACGATGGGGTCGCCTGGAAAAGAAGGGAATTCAGCTCCCGCGAGTAGTGGCAGCCAAGAATCTGGAGTCTCCGCGCCTAGGGTAGCACGGACGAACTAGGGCCCACTACTAAGGGAAGTGCTGAAAACGTTCTCCGTTGACAAGTTCAGTGGTGAAGGGTACGACGACTGGTCTTGGAAGATGCTGTTATACTTTCGGCAGATAGGACTCCTCAAAGTCATGATCGGTAGTGAGAAACGCCCTAGCAACCCGGAGCTTCAGGGTGATTGAGACGAACGTTCATCAGCTGGATACTATATCCTTTCTCAGAGCCTCGATCTTGCTCAACGCCAGCACATTATGCACCTACTCCCAGAGGATGAGTGCGGACCCAAGGCGTGGACCGTGCTTAAGGACCTTCATGCACCTACCTCCGTTGTAGCCACCCTCATGTTAGAGAGAGAGCTCTTCACCCTGCGCCTCAGTGAATGAGAACCTGTCCAACCCGTCCTTGATAAGCTCAGAGATCTCTACGCAAAGCTAGCCATTGCCGGCATAACCTACCCCGAGTAAACAAAATGTGTAAAGATGCTGTCGCTGCTGCCAGAGTCGTGGATGGTCTTCTCCAGCGGCCTCAGCCTTCCCCAAAACCAAAGCTTCTGGACTCTGGAGTGGATTCGTACCAAGATACTCGAGGAAGACTTCCGGAGGCATCAATTGAGGGGAGGAGAGGAGGGAAGCAGCAGCTATGCAATGCAAGGTGGTAAGAGGGGTAGAGGCAAGAAATGGCAAGGGACTGGGAGAGGAGCTTCAAAGGATGAGGAGACTTCTAACCAGCAAGGCGGTAGAGGAGCAGGACGTGGTGGAGGCCGAGGTGGCAGAGGTGGTGGAAGGGGACCTGGGAGAATGGAAGGCAAGTGCTGGTACAGTGAGAAAGTGGGTCACCCGTGGTTTAAATGCAGGACCAACCCCACCTGGTGGACCCCCTCCAACAGGACTCAAGATGGGAGTGGCGCCGGAGCGGTTGCCGATGATGAACCGGCTGAACAAGAGGAGAGGGAAGCTGGTCAGTTCTTCCACGTTGGTGAGCCAGATGAGGTCGCAGTAATCGCCCATGCTGGAGCCGAACTGCACCCGCTCAACACGTGGATCTTGGACACAGGAGCAGCATGGACTATGACGCCAAGGGCTGACCTCCTGGACAATGTGGGGGCAGCACCGATTGCTCAAGTGAAGTCAGCTTCCGGGCATGTGCTCAAGGTGACGGGGGCGGGGCGCGCTGCATTCAAGGGAGCTGACGGCAAACCGGTGGTGCTAAGTGATGTGCTGCTGGTACCTGATTTGAAGGCAAACCTCATCTCCCTGAGGAAGTTAGGCAAGTGCGGGGTGAGCACAAGTACCGAGGGCGCCAAAACGTTCAAGGGGCAGCTGGGAAAGCGGATGCTTTAGGACATGCATGAGAATAAGGACATATGCAAGTCCATGTGGCAGCTGCCGGTGGTGCCCTGGGATAAGGGGAATGGCTTCCAGGGGGAGTGCAACGCTGTAGCTGCAGAGGAGCTGAAGGTTTCAGCAAGGGGAGGTGAAACGGACTGGATGACAGCCCACCGTCGCCTCGGGCACATTGCTATGCCCGCACTGCAGCAGCTGCACAAGGATGAAGGGGTCAAGGGGCTGAAGCTGACAGGTGCAGCAGCAACCCACAAGTGTGAAACTTGCCTGTTGAGCAAGTTCACTCGGTTCCGATTCCATGCAACCGAGGGTGGCGGCAAGAAACTGCTTGAGTTAGTGCATATGGACGTGGTGGGGCCGCTGCCAGTGGTGGGGGAGCGTGGTGAGAAGTTCTTCCTCACCATAGTGGACGACTGGAGCCGAGTGACATGGGCATACCCCATCAAGAAGAAGGATCACGTGCCAGTGATAATCCATGATGAATGGCTGCAGTTAGTGGAGAAGCAGTCCCAGCACAAGGTGATGCGTATTAGGACGAATAGGGGTGGAGAGTTCCTTGGGGAGGAGCTGACTACATGGTTGA